TGTCCTTAGCTTTCATCGGATTTTCAAAAGATTTAGGACTACTATCTCAAAGGCAAATATGACAATCAATTTAAGAAAGTTTAAGAATAATGGAAAATAAATTTGATCTCAGCAGCACTTTTGCTATAGTTTTGGTTTTAGAGTATACCTACTACCACCTCATGGTTGTATATCCTTATTGCAGGTTTAGTTCACACCATACAGCCCATTCTTCAAAAAAACTGCAGGGTTATGGATGTAAAGATCCAAGCATCAAAGCAGAAGCTGTGTCTGGAACTGGGATCAGTACCAGGCCATCTGGTAACATTCACAATAAGATACGACTTCCCACGCTGTATTGGTAAGGAGACTGTCCATTCAGATATTTTGGATTCAAGTCCTCAACTTGGATACTACAGTCTTCTTTTCCTGACTGTTAACTATTTGCCTTGGTCTGAATCCTGGTTTTCTCTCTTACTAACCGTGTGACCTCGGGAAAGTGACTTACTCTTTCTATTCCTCATATAAAATGAGGATAATAGGGGCCGGCCCAGTGGCGCACTGGATAAGTGCGCCGCTTGGGAAGCGCGGCGGCGCTNCTTCTCAGGCCACACCCCACATCCATTAAATCTCAGTGTCTAAAATCACACCCTAAAATGCCTGAGGCCCAGGCATCCTTAATTTGTAAAGCTCCCCTGGTGATTCCATTGTGCAACCAAGTTTGAAAATCACTGGTTTAGACTTTTGGTGTCTTCACTCATGAAATGAGGGAATCCGTCTGGACCAGTGATTCTTCACCCTGGCTGCATGTTAGAATCACCTTGGGGAGATTTTGTAAAATACTGATGCCAGCACCATCTTTAGGAGTTCTGGTTAATCTGTGGAGCCCAGGCATTAGCATTTTTAAGGGTTCCCCAGGTGATTGACTCCAATGGGCACTGGGGTAAAGGAGCACTAGTCCAAGTGTTTTTGCCAAGATTCCATTACTTACATTTTAAGGATCTATGATATTATGGCTGAAAAAGCATCTGGTACTTTTTGCAAAGGCTAATCCCTCATCTTTACCTTCAAATCAGGGGTTTCTAACTTTGGAAGCTCTGTGAATCCCCTTAAATCTTATGCAAAATGTTGGATGAATATGTATATTCATGTATATATGTATATTTTCAAGGGAAAATGTCCTTAGCTTTCATCGGATTTTCAAAAGATTTAGGACTACTATCTCAAAGGCAAATATGTCAATCAATTTAAGAAAGTTTAAGAATAATGGAAAATAAATTTGATCTCAGCAGCACTTTTGCTATAGTTTTGGTTTTAGAGTATACCTACTACCACCTCATGGTTGTATATCCTTATTGCAGGTTTAGTTCACACCAT